CAGCCTCGTAAGGCGCTGGAACTCATGACGTCTGGGAACCAGCGAATGCAGCTCCTCGGAACAATTTCCATGAAAGTATTTGTAGAACAGACAGAGGGAGGCGACGGCGCGTCTGTGAGAGAGTGACTGTAGACGAGACGCCAGGGCAGGGCCAACTACATTGCATATCCGCCTCTGGAGCCTATCAAGAACCCCGAGGCAGACAGAAGGGCCACCAGACCATATATGGCAGCAATACTCCATGCAAGGGCGAATTGTGGATTTGTAGATCTGGAGGATCGATTCCAGGGAGAAAAATTTCCTGGCGCGGCACAGGGAGCCAACTTTCCTTGCGGTGGACGAAGCAATTGACTCAATGTATTTATTCCATCTCAGGTCAGCAGTCAACGTAAGACCGAGAAGCCGCAGAGACTCTCTGCGGCTTCTCGGTCTTCTCTGCTCTCGAGAAGTTGAGCGTCAGACATTCTAATGGAGAGAAGGGAAGGATCTCTGTGGTGATTAATAGAGAGCAGTTTTGTCTTCGAAGCGTTGAAGTTGACCAGCCAATTCATGCCCCAGTTCACAATCGATTGGAGGTCCTTTTCGAGACGCACGTCCAGGTGAGTTTTGTCAGTGAGACTAGATTTGTTTTTGAGGCAGGAATAAATTGTGGTGTCATCCGCGTAGATGCCAACTTGGGAAGTTATGGCGTCAGGAAGGTCATTTATGTAGATAAGGAATAGAGTGGGGCCTAGGATGGAGCCTTGAGGAACACCTGCGTTCGTGGGATAGGAACTGGGGGAGAATCCGTTGAGAACGACCTTCAATTCACGGTTTGACAGGAATGATCGTATTAGGTTATATAATCGACCCGTAATGCCATAACCCTGGAGTTTGCGAAGAAGGCCGGCATGCCAAACCCTATCAAATGCTTTGGAGATGTCTAGTGCCACGGCTCGGGCTTCCCCGTTATTTTGAAGAGCTCGGTAGACTGTTTCAGTTATGGCCGTAAGCACATCGGCAGTAGATCGGACAAAGCGGAAACCATATTGCTTGTCTGAGAGCAGATTATGGGATGTGAGGTGGTTAACCACCCCGGTAGTGATTAGGGCTTCGAAGATTTTGCCGAAGAGGGGAAGGAGACTGATAGGACGGTAGTTGGAAGGGTCAGAGGGGTCGCCCGGTGTTCTTGAAGACAGGAACGATGGAAGAGGACTTCCAGCAGTCAGGAAAACAAGATTCCTTGAGGCAGTAGTTGTATAGTTTAGAAAGGGCGGACGCTAGTTCAGGCGCGCATTTCTTCAAGACAATGGCTGGTATCCAGTCTCCACCACTAGCCTTGTTGGGGTCTAAATTGGAGATAACGGCCAGTACCAAAGATGGTGTTATGTTTAACACACTCAATATGGCATCAGTTCTAAGAGGGAAGTCGGTTATGGGTACACCGGAAGAGTCGAGAGTCGAGTTGAATGAAAATTTCCGAGCAAAGCATTCAGCCTTGTCGGTAGAGGAGGTCAGGACTTCGAACTGGTTGAATAAAGGAGGTATAGAGGGTTTGCAGTTGTTCAATACGCTCTTGCAGAGACGCCAATAATCTTTGGAGCCAAATTTGCGAGATGCAATACGTTCCTTCATCCGAGCCGCAAATAGTGACTTAGCATCGTTGAGGACACGCTTACACTCATTACGGGCGGAGGCAAAGAACCGTCTATTGCAGTCAGACATGTCGCTACGGAATAGGTGGAAGTAGTGGTTCCTATGGGCGATGGCGGTTGAGCAAGCAGCCGAGAACCAGGGGGAAGAGCGCGACTTGACCCTATATTTCCTATATTTTCCTATATTTTTAACCCAGGAAATCTCAGAAGCACATTCTTGGACGGGAAGCTTAAAGACTCCATCCCAGGGGACATCGCGGAGGAAATCACGGAACGCGTCCCAGTCAGCTCGTTGGTAGTAGAACGAAGTTCTAATGATAGGAAGTTCTTTATAGGGGGTGGAGTTGAAGGAGATGTTAACTGATACTACTGCATGATCAGAGTTACCAAGAGGGCAGAGTTGCGAGGATTCGGGGATGGAGATAAAGCACAGGTCGAGAAGAGAGGCTTTACCTTCCCGGTTGAAGGCAAAACGGGTGGGGAAGTTAACTATCTGTGTGAGGGAATGGGAGATTGAAAAATTGAGCGTTTGAATGCCTGCCTGGTCAGTAGTAGCATTCTTAAGCCACAAGGTGTGATGGGCGTTAAAGTCACCAAACACAAAAATGTGAGCAAACGGGTGGAGGGAGAGAGCCTTGTCTATGCTGTCAGAAATGCTATCGAGTATCTTACAGTCTTGAGAGGATGGAGAGCGGTAAAGGAAGAAGAGATAGCTTACCGGATTGAGGAGAGAGAGTCGGAGACACATGCATGACTGGTCTGGCGATTCGAGAGACAACTCTCTGACCAGGGGGAGATGGTCCTTGACGTAGACACCAAGACCGTGCACGTGGGTTAGAGAGTCTTTTCTGAGGACA